GTTCACCAGACTTATATTTATTTTATTAAAAATTAACATACTACATTTACAGGTAAGAAATAGAGATGCAAAGTTAAGATGGTAGTTCAAATAATAATTAACTTACGACATTATTAGTATTTAGCATTTATAAAAGACCACTTGCAACCATGTTAAGTCGAGAAGAATAATTGTATACGATTATGCAGTTCAATTATTTCTTTAGGTTAGATGAGTTAAATACGAGGAGACGTGTGCCATGAGAAGATTATCGTTGCACTCGAAAAATTTTAAATCTAATGGGAGGTTCTTGACATTTTTTTTCAGTGAGGTGAATTTTTATGTATAACCAATTGATTAGTCACTGTGTCATTTATTGACCCTTTTGGAATTTTTTATTTATTGCTTGAATAAGTTAGGTACGAGTCTAGAAGTCATTGTGTCATCACAAATATTGACAAAATTGTAATTAAGTTCTATCATACGAAGTTTATACTATTCGAACCAATCTCATGGTTAGTAATTTTTCATAGGAGCATGTTGTACGTACAGGGGTCTGTTTTACAGAAAAACAGATCCCTGCTAGATAACATACATGCACGAGTCCAAACGTAATTTTTATTTTTTTTCATGTGGGATCGACTCCTACAATGAGAGGTTCGTAAGACTTCTGTAAGGAAATGCACAGAGCATTTCCCTTTTTCATACTACAATTCAGTACTTATATAAAATTATAAGCCTGTAAGAAACCGGGGGCGGGCGGACTTAAGACTCACTGATCTTTTAGTAGTGCTTTTTCTCAAATGACAAATTGCACCATTAGTCCACAATGTATTGCTTTGATAGAAATTTATTCTCTAACTTTTTATTACAATTGCACGATCAATTTTTGATGATCAAAACAATTCACTCCATTAAAAAGTCGTGCAACCTCCATGTTTTCAACTTTATGGAATCGGATTCTGCGACAATCCAAATCTTTGCTAAAAGTCATGTGAACCCCCACGTTTTCAACTTTATGAAATTGGATTTTGCTTTTATATCAAAGGGCATGCTTATAAATTTATAGTTCGTTTGACAGAACTTTTACAAAGTCAAACGTTGTTCTCGAAATGAAGAATTTTTTTATGAACATATTTCGATAATTTTTTAAAATGTTTTGTTTGATTAGAAGAGTTTCAAAGAATGATGTTCTAAGATATGAAGTTTTTTAGCAAGAAACAGAACATTGGTAAATGGGCTCTTTTGTTTGAAAAGGGTTTTTAAAATCACTTTTTTCCACTCATTTTCCAACCACACTTTTGTTAAAAAAAAAAAAAAAAAATTTAAATCACTTTTTTCCACTCATTTTCAACCACTTTTGTTAAAAAAAATTATTTTCCACAATTGTTTTCACAGGAACAACGGGATAAACTAAGAAATATTTAAACCATTTCCACTATCAAGACTGATTGCTCAATCATAACAAAATATGTACAATTAATTCACTCAATCCCAAAGATCGGTGATTAACTTTGTAATATGAAATATATCAGGGACTAATAGTGAAAGTTCCCTTCCCTAAATCCAAACTAACAAAAGAAAGGGATAAAGAGGTGAGCATATCTGTCATTCAAATGTGTGTTTTACTTCAAAGGTCGTATTCAGTTGGCACATTGTTTTCCTACCAACCAATCGATTAAACCCAAAAGTCTGCAATCCCACCACCCAGCCTACACCTTTTCTTTTCTACTACAATCTACCATTCTTGAAAACGAAATTAATGAAAAAGTAAAAAATGTCAATTCTAAAAATATTATCAATAAGACTTCCCAAATAAGAAAATTAGACCTTCGTTTGGAAAGTATTTGTAAATAATTTCATTTATATATAGAGTAACGGATAAATGAATACTATTTGTGGATCTCAAAAGATATGTAACATTGATCGTCTGTTCTCAGGTTGAACACTAGAAGTCAAAGATTTGACGCTAAGCATAGCAATATATCAAAATTCAAATCGCAACGCAGTTACTGTAGAAAAATGGCAACAAAATTTGCCATATGGAGAACATGACAAATAAGATTATTTTCCTGAATATTTAGAAGTTAGAATTCCATTGCATCCGTAAATCATGATCCTCTGAATCAAAGTCGATCAAAAATAGCACCCAAAACCAGAGGAATCTACACCACTTACGATTATAATTATCAGAAATAAATTATTAATTAATCTTCAAATCCAGTTTGCTTCCATATAGCATTCCTTACCCGTCTCAAGTCTCTCCCCTTTAATGTCCTTCCTACACCTTCGTGCACCGAGAACGAAGCAACTCTAGTCCTGGCTAAATACTCATGAGGGGGTATTCTATCATTTGTGTCCTCATCATCATCTCCTTCGATGTCGTTCTCCCAATTTCTGCTGCGAGTTTTGTACTCACCTCGAAGGATTTTGGACCAGTCCGGGACGTTCAATGGCAGAGATTTCGATTCAATTTCGGTTGTAATTTTTCTGTGTTGCTTTCTGACAGGAATCGGATTTGAAATCGATTTTTTGGTTTCAGGTGGATTAGTGGGGATCTCATTGGTACTCCAAATTTGAGATTCATCGAATTCGAATTGTTCATTGAATTCGATCGACTGCATTTTCTCTCCTGCTCCAAGAAACCGGTAGCTATTCCCTGACGCCATTGAAATTCTTGCAGAGAAATTTGGAGAAGTTTGAAATATTAGAATGCTTGAGGGTCTATTCTTCTTTAATTGCATGGGTTTATATAATGGGGTAATGGATAAGCTTGGTTTAATTTTAATTTTAGTTTTAATTTAATTTTTGTACTTAGTAAATTGTTTGTACCATATTTAATTGGATTTGGATGAGGATTCAAAGTGGGCACCCTATCGTGTTTATCATGACCTTCCTTTCTAACTCTAATTTTTAATGCACTTAAATAAAGAGGTGAGATAATAATTCGGACGGGTTAATTAGTTTAGTATTGACGTTTGGAACGTATTTGACTAGTTGAATTTGATTGTATTGAATTGAATGAGGATCGATTAAAATTTAATAGTCTTTAATACAAATAGTAATCGAATTAAATTTCGCAGAATTCATGATGCTCAAGTCAAACTGAATTAAATTTACCAACCTACAAACATGGGTTTACGGGTTGAGACACACTAGCCATTGTCTAGTTAGTTCATAATTTACTTGTATTCATAATTATTAGACTTGACTTGGTGTTGATTCGAACAGATCACCGAATTAGTGGTTCAACTAATGAATCAATGCTTTAACCGATGGATCATTTCTATACCTTAATTTTGCTATGAACGAATTGGGTAACTAACCATTTTACATTAAACTGGTTCCAATTTTCTCTAAAATCCACTAGGTTCGGATGATTATTAGTCAGCCTGATTCGGGTTTAATACTATGTAATCCTAGCTTTGTCTATTATATGTAAACTACAAAACCAATCCATCAAATTATCACCGTGTATTTAGCCCCCGTTTGGCCCCCATTTTTGGTAATGAAAATGGGGGAAATAGTGTTTTGTTGAAAAAATGAGTTGTTGAAAAAGAAGGAAAAATATTCAATTTACATGTAATATTATTTTATTGAAGATTGTGTGGTTGAAAATAGGAAAGAAAAAAATAGAATGTAATAAAATGTAATTTAATGAAGATCAAATAGGAGCTTAGTATATTGTGTTGCATTAATTTACACAAAATAATTAATAAATTTTATTTCCATTTATGTTTAATCTTGTTTAGCATTGCATATCAATAGAGTAATGTTATTTACAATCATTCGTTACCGTAATCGCCTTACGTAACATACATCAAATTACAAACTGTCACGTAAAACGATTATGATAGTGATCGACTACAAATAGCATTATTTTCATCAACAATGTCTCTCAATATTTATTTCCTACTCATTCTACAACATTTTACCTTTATATATCTTTATTGTATTGTGGAAAAATATGAAATTCTACTCACCAAAAAGCAAGAAGTTGCTCATACGCTCTTATGAGCCCCAATTTTATTTTTATTATTATTCTTATTTTTTTTTCCTGAAGAAATAGAATTTCCAATAGTGAGTTTTTAGAGAATTTATTATTAAAATATAGTTAAAATTTTAATTTATGTGTAAAATTATTTTATTGAGAGAATGTATAATTATAAAAAATAAATAAATTTTTAGATAATGGATGAAGACCATATAACTCTATCCAAAATTACTATTTTACATTTGGAGAATGACACGATGGATCGTCGTGGATCGAACTTCATTTCTCAACTACTAAAAGGAATTTCAGAAGTATAAATAATTTTAGTCAATAAAAAAATATTAAATTGGATGGTATGGTATGGACTTTATCCACTAAAAGAGTCATAAATACGTGGACCAATTAGAGAGGACCTTATAACTACTACTAGAACGTCCCAATAAGATGTTCTAACGAGATGGTTGGGTCCCACTTGTCCATTAAGTCCAAAATCATGTCGCGTCATGCAGAAAATTTTTTAATAACATTGATGCCCAAAATTTCCATCTAAATCCTTTTCTATGAATATAAAAACTACTATTCATTTATTTATTTTCTATAAACGAACAATCTCTCGTATCATTTTCATACACATGAATGGATAAATTTAAGAAACATGAACATGTCGTAAATTCCGTCCTTACCTTATTCAATAGTCAAATATATTTATTATTGTGGTTGAACTTCTCAAAAAACAATTATGAAAACGAAACGTATCTAAAATAAAAAAGAGAGCGAAGAACTCGTTCATCATATCGATGCCTTATTAACATGCCACGATTTAAATATGTGGTTGACAAGTTGTAAATTTTGCATAGAAATTTTGAAATTTCAACACGGACTTCAATAACTTTTAATTTTTGAAATATAGCTCATGTTCGATTTTATAGGAATGTCCACGACTAATATTTTTATAGATTTTAAAAGATTATGAATTTCATGAATCTGAATAAATTTTCACAAAATCCATAAGAATTATGAAATTTTAAAATAGTTCGTTGTTATGTGTATTTTTAAGCTTGAAATCTATATAAATATTTTGAAATCCATTTATTAGTAAAAATGTAAAATCCTAATAAATCCACGAATTATTAAAGATGACTAGATTTTAAAATATTTCATTGAAATCCATTAAAATATCAGTTGGGACACCTAGATGTTAATGAATTTCAATAACATCTAATAAAATCTCGATTGGGAATATCTGAATTTAGAAAGATTCTTGTAATCCATTAAAATTTTAAATGATGACAATACTATTAATAAAAATCATTTGTTTACTAAATTTTGATAAAATTTAATAAAAATATATGATTGAAAAGTTGTGAGTTCTATAAAATATGTAATTGAAATTAATTTTAGTCTGTAACTTAAATTTTAATAAACGCTTTTAAACTAATCGAATGGAGATATAACCCTTGTTTGATCCTCATTATTTTCTAAATATATTTTTCTCTATTTTCTTTTCAACTACACATTTTTTAATAAAATACTATTATATATAAATTCAAAATATTTCCTCATTTTTAGCCAGACATTCTCTCTCAATTTACTATTTAAAAATAGATTCTTAGAGGCTCGAAGATGATCATAATTTGGATTCAATAATTGATCCTCGATCTCGTAGCGCGCGCACATTATTGATGTAATTGTTCTCCAATGAGTATCGAATATGCTTCTGTTGACACTTGACAAAAGCTGAGATTTCTTGGCGTGTGAGGATCAAAACGCCACTATATTAAACAGTATTATCCAATAATGACTTTCTTAATTAATAATATTTAATTTAATATTATGTGCTTCAGTTCTAGTAAACTTGTAATTATCCTAAGATGATAGCCTACACGGCATGATTTCCTCAATAAAGTATAGCACAGTTCATATTATGGACTCATTCTATCACTAAAGAAACAATTCCTTAAAGTTTGTAGATTCGTGTCGAGTTTAGATGCTCTATTTTATACATTGTAGGCCCGCGGATGGTATTTTATGCAATATCTTTAATGCGATCGAATAAGAAGATTAGCAAATCTCATCACGTACTTCCTTTTCAATAAAGTTTAGTTATCTCTAACTGAACATATCAAGAATACGATAAGAATTGTTTTTGCTGTGTATGGAAAACAAGTTACATTTCTCCAATATGTGTATTATAATATATTTACAATTTATGAAGTGACTATTATCTAACTTCTAATAAAAAAGGGAAGGAGGGTCTACTTATGTTATTTTTTATTGGGTAATTGGCACAAAACGTCCCTACTTTTCAAGGTTATTGTGGAAAACGTCCATACCTTTCATTTTTTGACATTTTTGTCCTTATTTTCACGTTTCTTTGCACTGAACGTCATTTTCACTGTTTTTTGACAATTTTACCCTCCATTCAAATCAAACAAAAAGAAAAGAAATTAAAAAAAAAACAAATACGAATTGCAACCACAATCCTAAAATTTCAAAAAACTACAAATCATTCACAAATATAGGAGGCCAAATATGAAGCCCCTTTCCGACACCTTCCGGCCACCAAAACCACCGGACCAATACACCACCTTGAAGCCCTCGTTGCCCTCTATACATCCCATCCTAGAATCGCCCCTACCTCCATCAGATTTGACCAGAATTTCGTTTCAAAACCATCCGTTTGCGTCACACAAAACTGTCGGCAACTCCATCTTCGGCGACTCCCAGCCCAATCCCATCATACTGGTAGACTCCCCTCATCACGGCGCACCTAACCATGGTCACCAAACACCTATTGAACTACCCAGTCAATAATTGCAGCCACTATTTTCGCACGCAGTCAACATGCAGACTTCAAAAGCTATTTTCGACGACGGTGGTTGATATCTTGATAGCGGACCACCCCATCCAGATGGCAAAGCTATTCCACCTATGGGCCTTTCACAATTTGGTGCAAATCTTGCGATCCACTTCGGTATAGTTCGTGCGCAAGCGGGTTTAGATTTCCCTTCAATTGAGGCTTTGAAACTGCTTCAACCTTCGAATCAACTTGGGAAAATGATTACTTAGTGCCAAACATCGATGGTTATACTGTCAATTCATCCAATTCATCATCCAAGCTCGAATGCCTATTTCGACCGTATACAAAAACAGGGCTCAATCAATTGACGGGGCTGCAATGCCTAACTCCATCAATTCGTTCAGGGATATTGCGATTCAGGCATAAAAAATAGTGGATGCACAATCAATTCCAGAAATTATAGCACCAATTGATCCAATTTTGCAGCCAAACATCACCTTTGACTGACGAAAAATTGGATGGGGCTTCCCTCTTATATTTTTGACTGATTTGTAGTTTTTTAAAATTTTAGAACTGTGGTTGCAATTAGTTATTTTTTTTTCTTTCTTTTCCTTTTGTTTGATTTGAATGGTGAGTAAAATTGTCAAAAAACAGTGAAAAGGACGTTCAGCGAAAAGAAAGGTGGAAATAGGGGTAAAAATGCCAAAAAATGAAAGGTATGGACATTTTGCGCCAATTACCCTTTTTTATTTTCCATTTTGTTTATATCAAACAAATATTCTTCCACACATCATCTCACTAGCATTAAAAAAATGATAATAATTTTAGTAAACATAAACTGTTATTAGCAAATAATAATAATAATAATAATAATAATAATAATAATAATAATAATAATAAAAAATAACTCTTCACACACGAGTTTAAAAAAAAAAAA